TTCTGTCTGAGGTTGTTGAATGTCTCTTCAAGATCGGTTAAGTGATCGTCGGCTTTCAAACTCTTCACCACTATATCGTCAACATAAACTTCCAGATTCCATCCTATCTGAGCTCGGAACACGATGGTAACCATCTTCTAGTAAGTGGCGCCTGCATTCTTCAAGCCGAAGGGCATCATTACATAGCAATAGATCTCATCACCAGCATAGAACGAGGTTTTCTCTTCATCCTCAAGAGCCATTGGGACCTGGTGGTAACCTGAGTATGCATCCAAGAGACTCAATCTCTCATTCCCCGAAGCTGCCTCCACCAGTTTATCAATGTTTGGCATTGGATAACAATCCTTTGGACATGCGTCGTTGAGGTTACTGTAATCGATGCACATTCGCCATTTACTGTTTGCTTTCTTGACCAACACCGGATTGGCGACCCACTCACAGTAATCTACCCTCCTGACGAAGCCGGCTTGTAGGAGCTTCTCGACTTCTTCTTTAATAACCTTTAACCTCTCCCCCCCGAAGAGACGTCGCCTCTGAGCTACTGGTTTCTTGAGGGGATTGGTGCTGAGTTTATGTTGAAAAACTGAAGTGGGAATTCCCGGCATATCTGCTGAAGTCCATGCAAAAACATCTTTATTAGCCCGAAGAAAAGCTATTAACTTTGCTCTTTCGTCCGGGTTCAATTTAGTCCCAATGTGCTTTTTCCTGCTCGGATCTCTGTCATCGATCTGTACCTCCTCCACATCTTCGACTGGAGCAGCTCTGGTTTCATCCTCTGGTCGGTTATCTACGATTTCAACACCCATAACTTGCCGATCATCAGCAATCTGTTTGGGATTAATCTCGGGTGTTTGAGCCTTGCCCTTCTGAGGTTGTGTTACCGAGGTGATGTAGCAATGCCGGGCCACCTCCTGGTTGCCTCGCAGCGTGGCTATTCCCGTAGGAGTGGGGAACTTCATGCAGAGATGAGATTGGGAAACCACAGCTTGGATCTCAGTTAGTGTGGGTCGACCAATGACAACATTGAACGAGGACGCCATCTTGACTACCAGAAACCGGACTGAAGGGGTCACATAACTTCGGCCACTTCCAAATGCAACATTCATGGTGAGGACTCCTTCAACTGGAACTGGTTGGTTGTTGAACCCGTAAATGGGACCATCATACCGTTGCAACAGAGCTGAATCTAACCCAAGACTCTCAAAGCAATGGAAGTACATGATGTCTGGCGCACTCCCTGTGTCAACAAGGACACGCTGCACTTCACAATTGTTGATCGTGACAAAAGTGACTAGTGGATCATTGTGTGGTGTGACAACTGTCTCGAGATCAGCAGATGTGAAAGTGATGGGTTGATTCTTCCACTCAGCATCGTCAAATTTTCGCTTCTGAGCCCGGTTCTGGTGCTTAACCTCTCTGACATACAGCTTTCGCTGCTTGGAACTCAGTCCACCGGCTTCCAGACCCCCCGTAATCATGTGTATGACTCTAGCTGGTGGTGGGAGTGGGGGTGGGGCCTGTTGATATCCCACACCTTGCCTGTTTGGGGGATTGCGGACTCCTTCATGCTGCATCCCTTGTTCCCTGACAAACCGTGGCTGTTCATTTCTCTGGATGTACTCATTTAACATTCCTTTCTGCGCCAGATTTTCCAGTTCAGACCTCAGACTATTGCATTGTTCTGTTGTATGACCGTGATCTTGATGAAAATCACAGTACTTTGTATGGTCTCTGGTAGCAGCAGCAGTTCTCATTGGACCCGGACGTCGTAAGCCCATTTTATTCTTAATCTGCATGAAGATTTGTGACCTCAGTAAATTAAAAGGAGTCCAATTACCTGGAGGTTTACCTGCAGGTTGTTGCGGAGGTGAGGAGTTCGGCCTCCCAAGTCGCAGGGTGGAAGTCGACATCGGACCTCGGTTCTGTGATGTCTTCATCCGCTTCCTGTTCGGATTCTCATCTCTCCAGTCCGGGTGTTGATTCTTAACAGGGGTGAGGTTCTGTGACAGGGCATATTCCTCAGCAGTTATGAATTTCAATGATCTATCATTTACCTCACTGAAGGTGGTGGCCGGGTGTTTAAGCAAACTATCTCTGAATCTTTCGTGGCCGAGACTTGAGATCACAGCTGTAATTCCCACAGCTTGGTCGAAAGAGTTAACCTCCAGTACAGCATCATTGAACCTGCTCATAAAATTCTTCAAAGACTCTCCGTCCCTCTGCTTAACCCGCATCAACTCGGAAGTGGTTTTCCTGATCAATCTTCTACTGGAAAACTTTGTGGCAAAAGCAGATGCCAGTTCTGTGTAAGAGTTAATTGACCTCGGAGGCAAACTGTAGTACCAGGTTCGAGCATTACCTCGGAGGGTCGAGGGAAAAATTTTGCACATTAACGCATCAGAGGCGTTCTGGGCCTGCATGCAAGAGTAGAAAGCATGTAGATGGTCATCGGGGTCCTTCGTCCCATCATAAGTTTCAAGCTGTGGTATTCTGAAGCCAGTTGGATAGGGTTCCAGCACAATATTGGTGTTGAGAGGGTGGGGTACGGAATCAGCCACAGGGTGTGTAGGCGGGATACCTCGCTGTTCAACCACTAGCTTTTCTAAGCTATCTAAACGTCGAGTGACATCCTCATGAGGAGGTTGCTGAACTGGTGCAATATGAGATTGGCCCTGAGATTCACTAACAGCGGGAGCATGTTGAACTTGTTCAGGATTTTGTAGTGGGGCTGGAGGTTGTGGTGAGACAGGATTAAGTAAGTTAATGAGTGGATCACCAGGATTGTTCCGGGCTAACAGCTGAGCCAGTACTTGCTGAAAGACACCAAACTGCTGTTGCATGGCAGCGAGCTGAGTTGTAACTACGTCTTGGTTAGCGGTGGAGGCTGAGTTGCGAGCCGAATTGTGTGGCTGGTTTTCATCCCCTCCTTCTGTATGGTCAACATGAGGGAATACATTCGGAACTGGGGGAGGGGGATGAGGTGGAAGGTTGCTGGGGACCTGGCCTCGTCCGAGAGGTTGAGACGAGTTTCCACCTCGAGCTGACCTAGTTTTAACCATGATAAGAGCAACAAAGGAGCCTTTAGTTCAGGTTCCCACAGACGGCACCAAAATGTAACTGCACCAAACCGGAAGTCCTTCTTCAGTCCGTATCTGCACTCTGGATTAACCTGCAAAGCCCCGAGGTGGATCCTCGGGGTAGACACTCCGATGCTTAAGTCAGCAATAATCGGGGTTACCTTTGAAACGGGAAAACAAGGAGCTTAGGGTTGGTTTCAATTACCTTTTGGCGTGGCCCTTAAGAGGTATTTATATGTTTCGATGCAGAATCCACGTGGCACGCCAATCAAGATGCCAAGCAAGATATCCGGGATCCGATGTGTATCTCCAGGCAGTTAGTTCGGGACCAGGAGATTGAGCTAAGCAAAATATCCGGGATTTGATATGTATCTCCCAGCAGTTATTTCGGGATCGGGAGATTGGGATATGTCTAGATACAAGGATGCCCATCGTAACTGCCATGTAGCTATTCTAGCGGGAAGCTCTGGACTTACCCTTACACTTCCCATTCCATTTTTCCATTTCACCATTTCGGGGTTTTTTTTTTTTTTCCAGAGATTAAGCGAATTTGGGTGTGCACCAATGTTGGATTTTGAGAAAACCCAAATCTCTCTCTCTTCTCCTTTCATCTTCTTCTCCAGATCTGGGTTTGAGAAAACCCAGATATGGGTTTTCTCCTTTCATCATGTTCCACAGCAAATTCAACAATTATCCTGCCAAGAGAGATATCATTACATTGAATAGGCAATTGCCGGTGTAGTCTATTGCGCGATGAGAGCAAAAGAGCAACTCTCTGTTGACGTACAGTTTGCCTCCGACCATGGACTCAACTGATCCTTCTATATCTCCTTTGACTACTACTTCTTCTCTTTCTTTTTCTTAGATGTGATTTTTGGTTATTTGTGTTGAGTCTTGAGGTTTGATTCTAATGTTTGACCATTTTTTTTTTTATTTGTATTGAGTGGATCTATGTAGCTTTTCTTCTTCTTCTTCAAATTGGGGTTGTTCTTGCTCATCAGTTTGCTTCGACGAGTAATGGGTGTCGGGTTTTGGGGCGAGAAATTAGAAGTGGGTTTTTGAGAAAAACAGTCATAGAGGTTAATCAATTACAACATAGACAAAAATCTAGAGAGTATAGCTCCCTGTTTCTTCTCCGATTCCGGCGTCTGCTGAAAAGCGAAATGGTAATCCACATCCAAATGGGGAGATTTCAAATTAAAAGCACTAATTGATTCTTGAGATCTATAATTGTAAAAAATCAGAGATTTAAACCTTTCAAGAGCAGAGGGAGTTCTGGCAAGACGATTCAGCAACTCTTGCTGCTTCTACAGTTTAGTATTGCCAGATTTGTTGGAGCCAAAGTTAGAAGCAACGAAATGGTGCCAATCATGAGATGCATCTTTAGATCTCCAAATACAATCTTCATCTTCCTTACGATCTTTATGAGAAGAGATGTTAGGGAAGCTGTGAAAGAATGACATACACGAGGGATAAGAACGAGGGCAACCCATAGACAAAAAATGACAGTGCATGTAAGCATTTCCATTAAAGAAACTGACGAGCAAGATATGGAATATGAATTTGGCACATTTAGATTTTGACTGTTGGTTCTAAACAAATTGTACTCCCAAATGAGGTAGAAACCTACCACTGTTACTACCTTGATAATCTCTAACATTAAAATGTGGCTTCTTCCCTGTGTCCATTGGCAGTCATTCTAACTGGTGAAGATTTTGATGTTGTGTTAAAAACCCTTATGGTGATTTGTATTGCTTTTCTTATTATCACCAACTTCATCATATTGTTAATTTATGTGATCAAACCAGATTTGGAGAGGAAGAAGGTAGAAGAGAGAGAAAAAGAATAAGAAGAAGAAAGAAGAAGGATGAGTAAGGAAAGGAAGGAGGAAAGGAGGAAGAAGATGAAGAGTTTGAAAGAGAAGAGAACCCAGATCTGGGTTCGCAGAGGTAAGGGAAAAGGAAAGGTAAAGGAGAGAGAAAGTGAAAGAGAAAGAAGAGATTACGTAGATGGAAAAAAATATCATTATTTTTAAATTAAATAAAATGCCAACTCATCAAAAAAAGGTGTCATGTCATTGGTTAAGAAAAAAAGAATTGGTTTGTTGGCAAGTTAACGTGCCATATGTGCATTTAACTGACGGAAGAAGGATTGTTTTGGTATTAAAAATGAAAATTTAGGGATAATTTTGATATTTTTTAAAGTTGAAAGATAATTTTGGTGTCAAAGTAAAAAGTTGAGGGACCAAAATGGTACTTTAACCTCGAAAAATATGATCAAATCTCTACTTGTCTACCAATGCTAGTTACGTTTACGTACTAAGGCTGTCTTTGGGAGTGTGAATGAGGTTTTTCCCTATAGTTATACAGTACTTTTAAATATATATTTAATAATTTTTATAAAATTGATTTTTTTTAAAATTATAAAAAATTACAGTAGATTTACAATAATTTTTGTATATAAAACTAGAAGTTTTATTTTGAAGTTTTTTTACTATGACTTTTGCAAAAAAACACCTAAGATGTGTTTGGGATTGTTATGAAATGTTGTAATTGTAGCTGTAGTTGTAACTATGTTAAATTGTATTGTATTGTACTATAGTTGTGGTTGAAAGTTATTTTGGTGTTTAGTTATTATTTTTTAAAAATATTAT